ACGTACACAGAGCTGGACGTCCAGCCCATAGAGGACGGGCTCTGTGACCTGGTCATTGAAAAGCCCACTGTGTTCATGAAGCTGGACGCCGGTACGCACACGAAACCTCCTGATCTCTGGGCTTTAGTTCTGATACTGATGCATGTCGGACAGCACACGTCCAAACACACAACCTTACAGTGCAGCTTCTGGATTTAAAATCAGACTGTGAACACGATGCCTTTTTATACACATGTGCACATCATACATCCGTTATTTATCTGCATTCAATCACCAAGTCATTGAAACTCAACCTTACGTAATACAGGACAGTGGTTGTACCCTGAATCTCTTGTACATAATACAGGACAGTGGTTGTACCCTGAACCTCCTGTATGTAATACAGGACAGTGGTTGTACCCTGAACCTCCTGTATGTAACACAGGACGACAGTGGTTGTACCCTGAACCTCCTGTATGTAACACAGGACAGTGATTGTACCCTGAACCTCCTGTACGTAATACAGGACAGTGGTTGTACCCTGAACCTCCTGTACGTAATACAGGCCAGTGGTTGTACTCTGAACCTCCTGTTCTGAAGTTACAGCTCGGTGTTCAGGGCTTGTATGAAGTGTTCGTACCACTGTGTCCAATGTGCTATACTCTTTCTTGTAGGAGTGAACATGTACCACCACTTCTGTGACTTTGTCAACCTCTACGTCTCCCAGCACATCAACAACTCCTTCAGCCCAGACATCAACATCCTCATGTGGGACACGGTGGGTCCCACGCACCTCTAAGGATCAGGGTTGCTTTACGATGGCTGATGAATAACTTGCTTTAGGCTAGCTGTCTTCCTGCCTCCTTTAAAAAGAGGAAATGGCAGTTAAAAGATTTACAGACAACTGACTCTGAACATGGTTGCTTAATGACTGTCGGCATGACAGATGAAACCACAGAGGGAGCTATATACATATTTTGACTTTGTGATATTACTTTCGATATTTATTGTCTATTCAACAATGCAATGGCTTGACTTTCTTTGAATCTGTATTGCTATCTTTTCACTTTTTGTATATTTTCAGAGTTTTCATGCGTATGGAGATCTGTTTCCTGAAACATGGAAGGCCTTCTCAGATTATGACATTATCCATCTGAAGACCTATGATTCGAAACGGGTAAAGATAAATCTGGTCAGGAGTGATTCAGGACTCATGCTCAGAGAACGTTTAGAAGGACTCACTGAAAGAAACACAATTAACCAAATGCTTTGATGAGAAATAGTGCTTTGCCGTCTAGTGCTTTTCCATTTTGATCAATGAGCTAATGATGATTATATTGGTAAGTACACAACATAGTCTATCCATAACAATTCTAACACATATTCTGACACATTATGTATCTCATCGACTACACAAATGGTCATTCTTTTCTTTTCTCTGAAATGCAATGGGAGTGAGAATACAGACTACAGAACTACTGTGTCTACTATATGTGTTATATGATATATGATATTTCAGATCTACCCACACACACACTTGCTATTCAACCTGTTCCCTATTCCTGCTGGTAGGTGTGCTTCAAAGACGCCATCTTCTCGCTCCTCCCCAGGATGAGATATGGCCTGTTCTATAACACTCCTTTGGTAAGTTACCACGTGGCGCGAGAGACACAGAGACACACAGAGAGCGAGAGAGACACTACTTGTGTGTATACATACATACGGATACAGGATATGTGATTTGGTTTAGTTCAGGGGTCGGCAACCCAAAATGTTGAAAGAGCCATATTGGACCAAAAAAACGAAAAACAAATATGTCTGGAGCCGCAAAAAAATAAAAGCCTTATAGAAGCCTTATATTGAAGGCAACACATGCTGTATGTATCTATAGTAGCTATATTAGCCTACTATAGAAATGACTAAGTTAACTACAAATACATAATGAGCCTTCATGATTAAATGTTTATTTTTCCTGCAGTGCATCCTGTAGCAGTGGTTCTCAACCGGTGGGGCGGGGCGCGGGTTCAAAAAGGAGGCGCGTATTTGCGCCGGACTGTCCAGTTTTTCAGCCCTGTCCGGCGTCCGGCGCAGCATCAAGCCGGGCGCGTATTTGTCCTCCTTTTTGAGAGCGCAATAGTAACACACCGCGCCCCCCCCCCCCCCCCCCCGCCGCCGGTCGTAGGTCCGCGGTGTGTTACTATTGCGCGCACCACCACCCCCCGCCGTCGGCCGTAGTGTTACAATCGCGCGCGCCCCCCCCCCCGTTGGCCGTAGGTCCGCGGTGTGTTACTATTGCGCGCGCCCCCCCCCCCGTAGGTCCGCGGTGTGTTACAATTGCGCGCAGCCCCCCCCCCCCCCCCCCGTCGGCCGTAGGTCCGCGGTGTGTTACTATTGCGCGCGCCCCCCCCCCCCCCCGTCGGCCGTAGGTCCGCGGTGTGTTACTATTGCGCGCGCCCCCCCCCCCCCCCCCGTCGGCCGTAGGTCCGCGGTGTGTTACTATTGCGCGCCCCCCCCCCCGTCGGTCGTAGGTCCGCGGTGTGTTACAATTGCGCGAACCCACCCGTCGGTCGTAGGTCCGCGGTGTGTTACTATTGCCCGGTCCAAGAAACGTTGAATCCTCTGTTCTCCTCAGTTATTTTTCTCTTTTTCCCTTTGGGATCCATGGCCCATCACACAGCCGCCGGTTTGTTTACAACAGCCACCTGCCTGGCATCCCGCCTTACTGATAGAAACGTGTGTCGCAGGCTATGACGTAAATCTTCGTTGACAGAAATGTTGAAATTTAATATTTATTCTACACATTTTTACAGCATTGAAAAACGTTAATAATGTTTGTGTCATGTTTGTTTTCCTACAGAAACCATATTAAAACAAAAAATATATTTCTCTCCCCCATCTTTTTCCATTTTCAAACATTTTTGAAAAAGCTTCAGGGAGCCACTAGGGCTGCGCTAAAGAGCCGCATGCGGCTCCAGAGCCGCGGGTTGCCGACCCCTGGTTTAGTTAATTCTATATCAAACACACTTTACTACAGTGCTTTTTCCCGGTTCCCCAGATCTCGCGGCCGATGTTTAGTTGGCCGTAAACAGGTAATGTGGGGTCAACTATGTATGCGATGTGTTTAATAACCCCCTCTAGTGATCATGTCATTTTAATGTTAATACCAAGGTGTTTTGTGTGAAGGCGATGTCATGTAAAGGCCTCCAGCCTTGAGCTCTGATATATAATGACTTTGACTTTATTTGACTTTATTTTACAGGATAGCCCCTTGAGATGTGCCATCTCATTTTCGAGGGGGTCCATATTATCAACGGAAATACAAACATACATCGTACATTGTAACATACATATATTGATTGCTGGGGTTTATAGCAGATGCTTATGATTCCTGCCGCCGGTTGTGTCGTGTATATTCATACGTGTATTCATAGGCATGAGGCGAGGGGGACAATCATACGTCTGTGAGGGGTGAGCATGGGGCTGTACATAGGGGCAGCGTGTATTATATGTTGTCACCATAGTGTGTATTACACGTTGTCACCATAGTGTGTATTACATGTTGTCACCATAGTGTGTATTACATGTTGTCACCATAGTGTGTATTACATGCTGCTCACCATAGTGTGTACTACGTGTTGTCAATATAGTGTGTATTAAATGCTGCTCACCATACTGTGTATTAAATGCTGCTCACCATACGGTGTATTACATGTTGCTCAGGATAGTGCTGTGAACTGTGCCACAGATAAACGACTATTCTGTGTGCGATACATTACTTTTTTGTGTATTGGTACCTACAGAGGTTTTATCAAAGATTTAATCTCCAATGTAGATGGGGGGGGGGGGATTTTCTTCAAATGTACTCAGTGTTTTCTCAGTGTATAGTCAATCATTGGAACACCGCCACAGATAGATATCTTTGTAACAGCAACATATCCTGTAATCCTGGTAATGTTAAATTACCAGGATCGGTCTGGAAAAACCTTTGCGTAAAATAAAACACCAGAGCCTGGTCTGTCAGGTAAAGGGGGTTACAGGGCTAACGCACAGCAATGTGTTCCGACGCATTATACATGACACAACGCTAAATACTAAATGCCCTTTTCCAAATTATAGACCAGTCTATAAATGAACATAAAGAGGCTGGTGGTTGTGTTCCAGGTCTCTGAGTGTCACACAGAGGGGATGTTGAGGGCCTTCTCCCAGCATGTCCTCCATCGCCTTCACATCCCCCAGGACTGGCCAAAGGTAGGGAGAGGAGCAATACTATATATATATATATATATATATATATATATATATAGTGAATAAACTTATAACTTCAGCACTGTACTTGGGAAGTAGTTTGTATTAGATTTGTTTGGACATCAGTCATGAATGTGAGTTCATCTAAAGTGAATGTGAGTAGGGCTAAAGTCTACAGCTGGGCTGTAGACTTTAGCCCTATTCGCACAGGATTAGTATTACCTGGGGACCTCGGGAGAAGAGCATATCGTCCCAGCCCTAATGACCTCTGTGGAATTTTGACTTTACTAATTATGGACATGGCAGATTCATACGAGATTAAGATCACAGACGACCTCCGCAATTATTACAAATTATTAGAAGTCGCCAAGTAATACTAGTCCCGGGGACACCTGAAATAGAGGGGATATGGGACACTGGCTTGAAGTTGAATTGAAAGACTTCAGCAGTGTAGTTGGGGAAGTAGTTTGTATTAGATTTATTTAGACATAAAGGTGAGTTTCCTGACCGGGAATCGAACCCGGGCCGCGGCGGTGAGAGCGCTGAATCCTAACCACTAGACCACCAGGGAAATGTTGTACTAGAGACCACAGTAGAACAGTAGTTAAAGAACTGTACTGTAGTTGGGAATGTAGTTTGTTTGGACATAAGTCATAAAGGAGTTGGGAATGTAGTTTGTTTGAAGTCACAAAGGAGATATGGGACACTGGCTTGAAGTTCCATTCAACACCTTATACTTTGAGCACTGTAGTTTGGAAATCAGTCATAAAGGTGAGTTCCCTGACCGGGAATCGAACCCCGCCCGCGGCAGTGAGAGCGCTGAATCCTAACCACTAGACCACCAGGAAATGTTGTATTAGAGACTACAGTAGTTACAGAACTTATACTTTCAGCACTGTAGTTGGGAACATGGTTTGTATTTGATTTGTTTGGACATCAGTCATAAAGGTGAGTTCCCTGACCTGGAATCGAACTCGGGCCGCGGCTGTGAGAGCGCCGTAACCTAACCACTGGACCACCAGGGAGCTGTGCTGTAAACTTTGACACCTGAAACAAAGGAGATATGGGACACTGGCTTGAAGTTGCATTTAAAGACTTACGATTTCAGCAGTGTAGTTGGGGAAGTAGTTTGAATTAGATTTATTTAGACCTAAAGGTGAGTTCCCTGACCGGGAATCGAACCCGGGCCGCGGCGGTGAGAGCGCCGAATCCTAACCACTGGACCACCAGGGAGCTGTGCTTGGGACTTTGACACCTGAAACAAAGGAGATATGGGACACTGGCTTGAAGTTCCCTGAACAACTTATACTTTGAGCACTGTAGTTGGGAAAGTAGTTTGTATTCGATTTGTTTGGACATCAGTCATAAAGGTGAGTTCCCTGACCGGGAATCGAACCCGGGCCGCGGCGGTGAGAGCGCCGAATCCTAACCACTAGACCACCAGGGAGCTGTGCTGTGGCCTTTGACACCTGAAACAAAGGAGATATGGGACACTGGCTTGAAGTTGCATTTAAAGACTCATGATTTCAGCAGTGTAGTTGGGGAAGTAGTTTGTATTAGATTTATTTAGACATAAATGTCAGTTCCCTGACCGGTTATCGAACGCAGGCCGCGGCGGTGAGAGCGCCGTAACCTAACCACTGGACCACCAGGGAGCTGTGCTATAAACTTTGACACCTGAAACAAAGGAGATATGGGACACTGGCTTGAAGTTGCATTTAAAGACTTACGATTTCAGCAGTGTAGTTGGGGAAGTAGTTTGCATTAGATTTATTTAGACCTAAAGGTGAGTTCCCTGACCGGGAATCGAACCCGGGCCGCGGCGGTGAGAGCGCCGAATCCTAACCACTAGACCACCAGGGAGCTGTGCTTGGGACTTTGACACCTGAAACAAAGGAGATATGGGACACTGGCTTGAAGTTCTACTAAACACCGTATACTTTGAGCACTGTAGTTGGGAAAGTAGTTTGTATTCGACTTGTTTGGACATCAGTCATAAAGGTGAGTTCCCTGACCGGGAATCAAACACGGACCGTGGTGGTGAGAGCGCCGAATCCTAACCACTAGACCACCAGGGAGCTGTGCTATGGCCTTTGACACCTGAAACAAAGGAGATATGGGACACTGGCTTGAAGTTCCACTAAACACCTTATACTTTGAGCACTGTAGTTGGGAAAGTAGTTTGTATTCGACATCAGTCATAAAGGTGAGTTCCCTGACCGGGAATCGAACCCGGGCCGCGGCGGTGAGAGCGCCGAATCCTAACCACTAGACCACCAGGGAGCTCTGCTATGGACTTTGACACCTGAAACAAAGGAGATATGGGACACTGGCTTGAAGTTCTACTAAACACCGTATACTTTGAGCACTGTAGTTGGGAAAGTAGTTTGTATTCGACTTGTTTGGACATCAGTCATAAAGGTGAGTTCCCTGACCAGGAATCAAACACGGACCGTGGTGGTGAGAGCGCCGAATCCTAACCACTAGACCACCAGGGAGCTGTGCTGTGGCCTTTGACACCTGAAACAAAGGAGATATGGGACACTGGCTTGAAGTTCCACTAAACACCTTATACTTTGAGCACTGTAGTTGGGAAAGTAGTTTGTATTCGACATCAGTCATAAAGGTGAGTTCCCTGACCGGGAATCGAACCCGGGCCGCGGCGGTGAGAGCGCCGAATCCTAACCACTAGACCACCAGGGAGCTGTGCTTGGGACTTTGACACCTGAAACAAAGGAGATATGGGACACTGGCTTGAAGTTCACTCAACAACTTATACTTTGAGCACTGTAGTTGGGAAAGTAGTTTGTATTCGATTTGTTTGGACATCAGTCATAAAGGTGTGTTCCTTGACCGGGAATCGAACCCCGGCCGCGGCGGTGAGAGCGCCGAATCCTAACCACTAGACCACCAGGGAGCTGTGCTGTGGCCTTTGACACCTGAAACAAAGGAGATGTGGGACACTGGCTTGAAGTTGCATTTAAAGACTCATGATTTCAGCAGTGTAGTTGGGGAAGTAGTTTGTATTAGATTTATTTAGACCTAAAGGTCAGTTCCCTGACCGGTTATCGAACGCAGGCCGCGGCGGTGAGAGCGCCGAATCCTAACCACTAGACCACCAGGGAGCTGTGCTGTGGACTTTGACAACTGAAACAATGGAGATATGGGACACTGGCTTGAAGTTCTACTGAACACCTTATGCATTGAGCACTGTAGTTGGGAACGTGGTTTGTATTTGATTTGTGTGGACATCAGTCATAAAGGTGAGTTCGATTCCAGGTCAGGGAACTCACCTTTATGAGAGCGCCGAATCCTAACCACTAGACCACCAGGGAGCTGTGCTTGGGACTTTGACACCTGAAACAAAGGAGATATGGGACACTGGCTTGAAGTTCTACTAAACACCGTATACTTTGAGCACTGTAGTTGGGAAAGTAGTTTGTATTCGACTTGTTTGGACATCAGTCATAAAGGTGAGTTCCCTGACCGGGAATCAACCCGGGCCGCTGGTGGTGAGAGCGCCGAATCCTAACTACTAGACCACCAGGGAGCTGTGCTGTGGCCTTTGACACCTGAAACAAAGGAGATATGGGACACTGGCTTGAAGTTCCACTAAACACCTTATACTTTGAGCACTGTAGTTGGGAAAGTAGTTTGTATTCGACATCAGTCATAAAGGTGAGTTCCCTGACCGGGAGTCGAACCCGGGCCGCGGCGGTGAGAGCGCCGAATCCTAACCACTAGACCACCAGGGAGCTGTGCTGTGGACTTTGACAACTGAAACAATGGAGATATGGGACACTGGCTTGAAGTTCTACTAAACACCGTATACTTTGAGCACTGTAGTTGGGAAATTAGTTTGTATTCGACTTGTTTGGACATCAGTCATAAAGGTGAGTTCCCTGACCGGGAATCAAACACGGACCGTGGTGGTGAGAGCGCCGAATCCTAACTACTAGACCACCAGGGAGCTGTGCTGTGGCCTTTGACACCTGAAACAAAGGAGATATGGGACACTGGCTTGACGTTCCACTAAACACCTTATACTTTGAGCACTGTAGTTGGGAAAGTAGTTTGTATTCGACATCAGTCATAAAGGTGAGTTCCCTGACCGGGAATCGAACCCGGGCCGCAGCGGTGAGAGCGCCGAATCCTAACCACTAGACCACCAGGGAGCTGTGCTATGGACTTAGACACCTGAAACAAAGGAGATATGGGACACTGGCTTGAAGTTCTACTAAACACCGTATACTTTGAGCACTGTAGTTGGGAAAGTAGTTTGTATTCGACTTGTTTGGACATCAGTCATAAAGGTGAGTTCCCTGACCAGGAATCAAACACGGACCGTGGTGGTGAGAGCGCCGAATCCTAACCAGTAGACCACCAGGGAGCTGTGCTGTGGCCTTTGACACCTGAAACAAAGGAGATATGGGACACTGGCTTGAAGTTCCACTAAACACCTTATACTTTGAGCACTGTAGTTGGGAAAGTAGTTTGTATTCGACATCAGTCATAAAGGTGAGTTCCCTGACCGGGAATCGAACCCGGGCCGCGGCTGTGAGAGCGCCGAATCCTAACCACTAGACCACCAGGGAGCTGTGCTTGGGACTTTGACACCTGAAACAAAGGAGATATGGGACACTGGCTTGAAGTTCACTCAACAACTTATACTTTGAGCACTGTAGTTGGGAAAGTAGTTTGTATTCGATTTGTTTGGACATCAGTCATAACGGTGAGTTCCCTGACCTGGAATCGAACCCCGGCCGCGGCGGTGAGAGCGCCGAATCCTAACCACTAGACCACCAGGGAGCTGTGCTGTGGCCTTTGACACCTGAAACAAAGGAGATGTGGGACACTGGCTTGAAGTTGCATTTAAAGACTCATGATTTCAGCAGTGTAGTTGGGGAAGTAGTTTGTATTAGATTTATTTAGACCTAAAGGTCAGTTCCCTGACCGGTTATCGAACGCAGGCCGCAGCGGTGAGAGCGCCGAATCCTAACCACTAGACCACCAGGGAGCTGTGCTGTGGACTTTGACAACTGAAACAATGGAGATATGGGACACTGGCTTGAAGTTCCACTGAACACCTTATACATTGAACACTGTAGTTGGGAAAGTGGTTTGTATTTGATTTGTTTGGACATCAGTCATAAAGGTGAGTTCCCTGACCTGGAATGGGACTCGGGCCGCGGCTGTGAGAGCGCCGTAACCTAACCACTAGACCACCAGGGAGCTGTGCTGTAAACTTTGACACCTGAAACAAAGGAGATATGGGACACTGGCTTGAAGTTGCATTTAAAGACTTACGATTTCAGCAGTGTAGTTGGGGAAGTAGTTTGCATTAGATTTATTTAGACCTAAAGGTGAGTTCCCTGACCGGGAATCGAACCCGGGCCGCGGCGGTGAGAGCGCCGAATCCTAACCACTAGACCACCAGGGAGCTGTGCTTGGGACTTTGACACCTGAAACAAAGGAGATATGGGACACTGGCTTGAAGTTCACTCAACAACTTACACTTTGAGCACTGTAGTTGGGAAAGTAGTTTGTATTTGATTTTTTTGGACATCAGTCATAAAGGTGAGTTCCCTGACCTGGAATCGAACCCGGGCCGCGGCGGTGAGAGCGCCGAATCCTAACCACTAGACCACCAGGGAGCTGTGCTGTGGCCTTTGACACCTGAAACAAAGGAGATATGGGACACTGGCTTGAAGTTGCATTTAAAGACTCATGATTTCAGCAGTGTAGTTGGGGAAGTAGTTTGTATTAGATTTATTTAGACATAAATGTCAGTTCCCTGACCGGTTATCGAACGCAGGCCGCGGCGGTGAGAGCGCCGAATCCTAACCAC